CCTTAGCTCTCGCAGCTTCGCCTCGCCGCGCACGACAGCGTCATCGTACTCCAAGCCAAGCTCTTCCAAGGGGAACCCAAAAGGCTCGGGATTCAGGAAGGCCCTCTCTTTGTGAAGCTGCAACTGAGCCAACTCCCTGGCACGCTCGTTCAACTCACCCTCCAGTTCCTTGATTTTTGCCGCATTGCCGCGCGGATCTTCGTTGCGAAGACGCAGGCGCTCCACCTCCATCGTGTGGAATGGCTCATCCGAATCCAGCGGCAGCTCAGACACCGGCACACCCCCCGGTTGCGGGTCGAGAAATAGTTCTCGCTCCTTCTCCTTGAGCTCACTTGCAAGCACGTGCGTTCGGTCAAACAACTCGTCCTCAAGGGCAGCGATGGCGCTGGCGTCCTTCCGCGGTTTGTGGTTTAATGCACGAAGCTCACGCTCCAGCTCCAGGAAGGCCTCGTTTTCGTTTAATGCAAGCAACTCGAGCGGGACACCCTCCGGCTCTGGATCCAGAAAAGTGCGCTCCTTGGCGTGCATCCGCTTGGCCATTTCGTGAGCAACCTCGTTCATCTCCGCTTCTAGGGCAGCGATCTTGCTTGCATTCGCAACAGGGTCCCTCTTCACTTTCAGGCGTTCGCCCGCCATTGCGGCAAACAGAGCCTCTCCCATAAGAGGTATGTCCTGAAGAGCAATGCCCTCCGGTGCCGGGTCAAGGAAGGACAGGTCCTGGTGGCTAATGTCAACCTCTATAGGAATACTTGGCGTTCGCGCCGAGATTGATCCCCCACGCGCTGAGGGCTTTCTTGCACTGATATCCACCGATGCCCGCGGTAGGGGAGTACTCAAGGCCTCTTCGGTGAATTCGCTTTCGTCATCGTGGAACTCAACGGCGTCAATGGGCGGCTCAGTTGTACGAACATGGGCCTCCTCAATCGCCACAACCTCAACCCTCACTGGAACTTCACCGTTGCCATGCGGACATGTAATGGAAAGCGCATATCGGCCATCTCTTGGAAGATGGTGCACGATGCCGGTTTCACGAAAGTTTGTGGCGGAAGCGACCCCGCTTATGCACTTATTGTCTGCATCATATAAGTACATGCCAAGGAAATCTTCCGTCATGGCATCTGAGCAATTAGGGGTACGATAGGGCTTTTCCTGGCGCAGCAAAATATGCACATCCGTCGGGGTATCAACTACAAAATCGACACGTCGCTTTTGTTGATGCTCTAATACGACGTGTGCAATAGCGGGTAAGTGCCGTGCTACGTCAACTTTGAGTCGCGTAAAAGTCAGAGGTTTTTCGTCACCCGGATTCTGGTACCAGTAGGATAATAAAAATTTTCCTTGTTCGTGAAACATTGCTCCGGGGACGAGGTAGCCAAAGAAATTTGGCGGCACAACAATTCTGTTAACTACCTCACGGAAGTCCATGTAGAGCCCCTTGTGCACCATGCGGTGATTATTTGCCGTCAACAGATAAGTGGGAATCATCGTCGTGTCCGTACTCTGCGAGAGAACGAGGCCGCATTGAATGTAATTCAGCTCCTGCTGCGGCATCAGATGGAGCTTGTGCCGCTGGTCCGGCTGCCCAACCATGGCCATGATCTGCAAGGGCTCATCGGAAGTGTTCCGCACCACGTACAGGGGGTTCTCGCGCCACGTCACCAGGGTGGGGTTGCCGCCATTCGTGCCCTCGCCCCACTCGCTGTTGAAGTGCCAGCCCGGCAACGCCACGCCACCAAGCAAGACTTTCTCAAGGCTGGAAAAAGTCTCAAGAAACATCGTAACTGGCACGTACATTGTGTCCCTTCGCTCCGGGGTGTAGGTTACCCGCAACTCATCCGTCCAACGGACATCCTCGTTATTCATGGGGCCCGTGTACACGGCCTCGACAAACGGGTTACTGAGTTTCACAAAAAGATCAGAAAGAGTAATATCCGACGACTTAAAAGGGGAAACAACCGCAAGGACCCCGTACGCTTGATTTTCTTGAATCCCCGTATTGGACCCTAGACCTGAACGCGCGGTGGCTCCATACGCACAGGCATTCAGATCCTCGTTAAGGTTGAGCCAAAACTCCGGATCGTCAACATGATACATGGCGGACTTCGCAAGCTTCAGATCGGTCGGGATGCTCACCACGGGACGACCGGTGAAGTCGTAGTACAACTCCTGCAGGGTGCAGCCCTCAATGTTCTGGTACAGGGTGTAGAACTTCGCGTAGGCCTTCTCCAGCAGCAGGGGCCACCAGTGCCGGGTGGGGGAACGGCAGAACAGAGTCTGCTGCTCCATCAGCGGGATGCGGTCGTCGATTTCCACCTTCACCCACTGGCCATACCTGTGAAACTGGAACGTGTAGCGCCCATCCTCCCGCACCTTCTTTGTCACGAACACGTTGCGGATCACATCGGGGTGGTGGTCCACAAGCGTCGCGAAGGCGGTCAAGCAGCAGCACTCAAAGTGTTCGCCCTGCTCGAACTGGTCCCGGTCCATCCTGTCGGGAAGGAGCGGCAGTGTCTTGCCCTCCGGATACAAGTCACCGATGTGAATCCAAGGGTCATTCGTGATGGCCTTGTTGTCAACCATGAACCGCTTGTCCTCGAAGGGCGTTGTGCTGTCAGGCACCTCCGTAATC